GGGGTCGGGGAGTTCCGCTTCTCGCGCCGGAGCTGCTTTGGGGCGCTGGAGGCGAAAGGCGGTTCGCTCGACGGAGGCCTTTCACACGTGACGCGAGTCCAGCGCGGATCGTCGCGTGTCCTCCCGAGCCGTTCCTCGTCCGGGCTTAACCCGCGCGTTGGGAAAGGCGAGGTCGAGCCTTGCAAGCCACCCGCTCAAGTCGCCTCCCGTCTGTCCGAAAAGGGTCACGTATGAATCCCTGAATGCGGGTCGTCGCGCCGCTCTCTTCTGGGGCTCAGTTCGCTTTCTGTTTCTCCTCGCCCCGAGCCGACGGCGAACCGCTGGAGTTACAGTACTGACTTCGCACCGCCCGGGGGGGCTACAGTCTGCTTGACGGGTCCGGGGGTTGTGGGAATCTAGCCAGTTGGGTTCATTCGTTAACCGCTGGTCCCGTTAAGCGGGGGCAGCGGTTCTTTCGGCAGAACCTGTAAATGGCGGGCGGAAACGCTGAAAGAACCGCAGTCCAGAAAAGAGGAAGAGCATGCCTCTAGGCAAGTGCAAAGTGCAAATAGCGTTACCTGCTTATGCCGAAGTTAGTCACTCTTACATCATGCGGAGTTATTTTGTTTTTCGTGGAGGGGCAGGGCGCCTCTTCTAAACGCGGAAGGCTTTGGTATTGCGCACACCATCGAGCCGTACCTGTTCGGCCCTGCGTGGCCATTAATATTAATTAATTCCCTTCCTAACAAGGGAAGTTCAACTAACCTTTCAGGAAACCTGGGTTGTCTGTACTCATCACCCAGGTGATGGCTGGCTGGACAGGGGCTGCCTTTTCCTTCTGAGCCCCTGAGGGTCGGAAAGGGCCTCGCTCCAGAATGGGGAGCCCAGGACACGCACCGCCAAGCCAGTGAATCAGTACAAGCCAGGGATGATTCAAATGTTTGGTAGGAAAAGGTAGGTCACGCTTAGGTGTCTGAACTCAACTGCTGCTGTTTAGGGTTATAGCATTGGCTCTTATCAACGGACCTTGCACTGTGTGTGAGCTGGAATCTAATATACATTTTTAACTACTTATGTATTGTGTTTGTAAAGCCGCCCATCTCACAAGAAAGTGACTCTGGGCGGCATACAACACTCAATTAAAAAGAAAATAAATGCATATAAAACGGTCGTCATTAAAACTATAACAGCTATAAAACAGCACAGAGTGAAATGTCTTGGCTCCACTGAGAAAGCGAAATGTTGCCTTCTCTTCCGGAAACTGAAAGGATGTAGATGGGGGGGTGGGGGGGACACATATTCACACAGTAGAAAATTCTAATGGCAGCAGAGGATGGTTATGCTAAAGTTTTATTGTCCTTTCAGTAATGATTTTCAACTTGTATAATTAGTAGTAGTAGTATTAATGTTTAAAGGTTAGTGACTATTTCTAGTAGGACAATAACAGGCTGTAAAACTCCACCCATCCCAAACATGGCTTAGCATAGCTTGGCATAGGCAAACTGTTATAACTGGGATTATGAAATTAGAGGAGACCAAAATCTAGAATTTCCATTTAGTCGAAAAGCAGGAATTAAGCAATAGCGTGGAGTAGGAATCAGGTCTAAAACTTGGGATTATCATATCTAGGCTGTAAAAATCCTGACAACCACAAGCGAACAGCAACAAGATTTTTCTTTTTCTTTAAAAAAAGAAAAAAACACTTAAGGTGGCTTTCCATCTCATGCTTGTCCAGATGTTGCCAGCCATGAGATAGTAGCCCTCCTCTCCTTTGTTCAACAAACCGTTGTTCAGAGCAATCTGGCTTTGTATTCCCTGCCCACCCTGCCAGAGAATGCAAGCATGGAGATTGCAGATCAGAATTAATGCTGATAGAGCAAAAGACGGCTTAAGGGTGTCTCGTTCGCGGCCTTGAGAGGAGAGGAGGATAACGCCATGGGGACAAAGGAGGTTGCCAGGGGAAAGTTGCCCTTTGCTAGGCCTAAGGGAGAAATGGCTTTAAAGTCCGCCTTGATTTCATGCGAGGCAGTGAAGCTGGGTCAGATCTCTTAGGTTGGGTGGCCCCAAAGGGCTGGCAGGTGAGGGACTAGCCATGGGGACGGCCAATATCATCCCGTATCTTTTTCTGCTCTCTCCAAGACGGGTGGAGAACTCAGCGGTGGGGAGACTGTCTGACTCCTGAAACATAAATAGAAATGACCTGCAACTTCCCGGCTTCGGAAGATCCTCACCCAGTTTTTGAAATGGGTGAGTGGAGCAGGGCAAGGCTTTTCCTCGACAGGCAAAGCAGGTTGAAACCATCA